GACCCCATCTGCAGTGGTGCGGTTTTGGCCTCAACTGGGGGCCGGCCCCCGGCCACTCACCTTCAGGCGGCAGTAAAGGACGGTGAGGACGATGCCGTAGATGAAGAGGATGGCGTCCAGGATGTAGCACAGCTCCGGCTCCATCAGGGCCTCTGGGGAGGACAGAGATAGCACGGGAGCCCCGAACGCGGCAGCACCAACAACCCCAAGCCAGACCCCATGCGCACCGGCAGCCTCTGCTGCCATCACCCACATCTGAGCCTGAGCCTGGAGCTCAGCTCTGCCGCATCCAGACGTCACTTTTTTTGCACATTTGCTCGAGAAGCCCCCAGGCGATGCCGGACCCAACTTCTTGCTGCCTTTCCCCCAGCCCCACGAAAGGTGGCTGCAGAAGGGCAGGATGCAGCCCCCGCTCTGAGCTCTGCAATGTCTCAGCAAGAGCATTAAAACTCGAAGCTGTGAGGCCGGGCTGAGTATAGCTCCTCGCCTCTCGCGCTGCCTGGGCGCGGAAACAGCAGCGGGGCCGCTCGAGGAGAGGCAGACGCGAGCGCCCAAAACCCCAGCAAGGGCTGGGACAGGGTGTCAGGGGGCGCGGAGACGATCGCTGCTGCCGTGCTGAGTGGCACACGGAGCCGGCACAGATTCGCTTTGGCAGGATCACAGGGGGCACCGTCCTGAGAGCCAGCAGGTCCACCCCAAGCAGGAGGCGACAACCCACCAGGACAGCAGGTGCCAGACACAAAACCCAGCAGGCGCTGCCAGCCAGCTCCGACCCCAAACTGGAGGTGAAATCAGGTACCTGGAGGGGGCTGAGCCATTCCCCTGTGGCAGGAGCCCCTTCTGTTCCCTGCAGGGAGCTGAGCCTCCCCAGGCACCTTTCCCTTCCCAGCACAAGGCACGACACCCTGCAGCCCAAAGCCAACAGCGCTCACCGGGTCCCCAGGCCCCCACCGAACCCCCTACCTGCCGCTTGGACCTGGAGGAGCAGCGCCAAGGCGAGCACGAGGCAGGCAGACATCCCTGCGCTGCGGCCCAGACGGGCCCCCCACACCTCCGTGGCGGTGCTCGGCGCAGCGCAGTGTCCGGCTGGCCAGGGTGTTGTGCTTGAGTCAGCAGAAGGCTCTGCAACCACAGAGCAAACTCCTTCCTCCGCTCACGGCTTACCCTTGCCCCCCCGCCCCGCTCCGAGCCCAGCACCATTTCCTTTTCGCAGATCCCAGTTGTGTTAAGGAACTAGTTCGGCCACGGAGGCTTGTTTCTCTTCCAGGAAAGGGCAGCAAGCACTTATCAGGGAAATTGCTCAAGGGCCAGGGTGGCCCTAGGCATCGCGTGCCCAGAGGGTACCCAGCCCCAAACACCCTGGGGCCTGGCTCCACCCCCTCACAGCACCCAGGTTGGGCATGGTGCTAGGAACCAGCTCCCCACTGGGGACCACCCAGCCAAAACCCACTCCCCCGGCCCTGGGGCTCTGATGCACAGAGGAATTGCTGCTGTCACCCAAGAGGAAGCTGCTGGCTGTGAGTCAGGCCTTGCTGAGCCACCGGGGTGCCTCTGACAGGGCTTGCTGGGAAAGGGAGACGAGCAGGCCCCGGCTCTGCACGGCTCGATGCTGCAGGAGGGGCCAACCCAAAGCCTGCTCCTCCATCAGCCTCAGGCCTCGCAGCAGGGAAAAAAGCCAACCTGCAGCCCAACAGCACTGCAGCAGCTGTGCAGAAGTGGAGGCAGAACAACTCCAGTCCCACAAAATTGCTCTCTGCTCTCCCACAGGCTGGGGAAACTGCCCCCCCAGGGAGGATCCTCCTGGGGCTGCAGGACACACCCAGGAGCCAGAGACAGAGGGAAGGGAAGCTCTTGATCACAAGTCTCATATGGGAAGAGAGAGAAAGAGCAGGGTTTCACCCAGTTTCAGCTGGAGATGAAGAGCTAAGGCAGGATGGTGGAAGGGACAGAGGTGACAGCTCCAGGCAGGACACAGTTTTGTCTTTATTTGACTTCAGAGGAAGAATGCAGAGCACGAGGCAGAGGAGGGAGAGCCCGGGGCACCCCTCCCTGTACACAGGGCAGCACACGCAGCACGGGACAGGCGCAGTGGGGCCAGCACAGGGCCATCACCTCACCGGTCCACTTCTCCGAAGACAATGTCCTGTGTGCCTGGTGAGAGGAGGAGAGAAATTAGGGTAGATTCAAACCCCAGGCCCCTATTCCAGCCCCCAAGAGCAGGGAAGGAACCCCCAGTAAGAACCAGTAGCCTGAGAGGCCCTGCGCAGCCATGAAGCTGCAAGTGCTCAAGCCTCAGCCAAGGAGCTAAACATACCAATGATGGCCACGACGTCTGCCAGCATGTGGCCCTGTGACATCCTATCCAGTCCAGCCTAGAGGAGAAAACACAAAGCACCCACATCAGCCTGGAGCCTTCCTCCTCTGTCACGACAAGGGTCGGGGCACCCGAGCTTTGCCCAAAGCTCAGGCAGACCTTCGACCAGCCATCACCCTGGCCTGTCTCCTGGGATGTGGTGAGGTGTGACAAGGATAGGGCTCTGGGGGGCTCTCAAAGACTTTCTCAAGGACAGACAGCACCCTTGGCCTGGTGCTGTGCTCATCCCTGCCAGTTACCGTCACACCCACCGCACAGGCGGCACAGGAAGAGAAGTGGTAAGGAACAGAACCAGCGCAGCTTCAGCTGATCCTATGAATAACTGTTGGGGTGGGCAATCTGGCAGCTCCTACAGAGAAAGGTCCCTGTCTCCTGCCCAGGCTGAGGTTTCCATAGTTGAGGAGCAGATCTCCTGAGCCTTGGCCCAGGCTTGGCTTTGCGCAACAGCACGAGCTCTAGTGCAGGGGCCGAGTGAGGCCTGGCACTGCCCAGCCTCGCTCACCACTTCCAGAGAGGGGTGCAGTGCTGGCAACAAGCCTCAGGCCCCAGGGGTGGTCCCCACGGGCAGCACAGCCCAGGTCCCACGCCTCAAGGCAGGGGTCTGGCAGCAGAGGGTGCGCAGCCCCTGCCAGCGTGGGCCCCTGGTTCAGAGAAGGAAGTGGTCAGCTATCAGCAGAGAAAGGAAACCAGCTCTAGCAGCAGATGCACGAGAGGCCTCCCAGCAAGCAGCAAAGGGACAGCCAGGGCCTGAAGCAGCAACCATGACTAAAGGAGCGGGGAAGGGCCTTGGCTAGCTCCACCACACACAGCTGCACCCCTACTAAATCCTGGCAACACTCGCAGCCATCTGCAGTCCAGTGGCTCCCTCCAGCCGGAGCCAACAGCCCCCCAAGCACCCACCAGCGTGGTCTGGAAAGCCCCGTGAGACTGTGAAGAGCTGCACCAGGAGCTGCCGATGTCGGGGACACACAACCAACAGCCTCTTTGGCCTCTGCCCAAGCCTCCAGGGTTAGGGCTGCGCTTGGAGTGAGCTCAGCACTGACAGTCGGGGAAGAAAGTTTGTCCCAGGAAGTCATCGTCTGCTGAGCCACATCCCTTTGACCAGCAGGGACCAGGGAAACACGGATCACAGCCAGCTCCTTCCAGACATCCCTCTGCTTTGAGCCATGCTGGCCAGGGCTTGTCCCCAGGAGCAGGGCCACAAGGAGTCCTTGGATGGCACTACCAGATGCAGCCAAGGCCAGACACATGGGGCATCCCAACCTGCCCATCCAGCGGGCTGGTACTATCCCCCCCTTTCTCCTTCCAAAGGATGAGCCTTGCGGTGGCTGCAGCCCAAAGCACACCCTTGCAGCAGCATGTCTTCAACTTCTCCCAGTCCTCCAGCACCACAGCATGGCTACACTGCCCACAACCCACTCGGCCACATGCCAGCTCTGGGTCTCCTACCAGGTGAGCAAATCCAGGTGCCTTGATCTTGCAGCGGTAGGGGCGGCTGCTGCCATCCGAGACAAGGTAGATGCCGAATTCACCCTGCAAAGACATGCGGAGAGGGTTGGTGACACACAGTGACACTGTCAAGAGGCTGCAGCTCTGCCTCAGTAACCCACACACACAGGCTGTGTCCAGCCCAGCAAACATCTCACGTGAGAAAAGAGACACCAGGGATGGGACAGCCCACACACCTGTGATTTACGTAGCAAGAAGGCCTAAAACTTCTTGCAGCCTTCAGCTACCCAGTGACGGGAATGCTGTCATGTCCCCAGGAGTGTCATGGGGCAGTCAGGGCCAGCAGGTGTTTGCACATTGCCAACCAGGACAGGCACCCACCACCCCACACAGCCAGCACCCTTCTCTCAGCCCCCGGCAGTACTGGGCGCTGGCCAGGGTGGGATTAGCCATACCACCGAGCCCACTAACCCATTAACGCAATGGGAACAGGCACCTTGGGGGCCTCAATGGCTGTGTAGGTCGCTCCAGGGGGCACCTGGTAGCCCTCCGTGTAGAGCTTGAAGTGATGTATCAGGGACTCCATGGAGGTCTGCAAAGAGAGGTCGTCACCACGGCAGAGGGCCCGCGCCGTGGGCTCGCCTGCAGCAGGGCAGGCGCACGGCCCTGCACGTGCTGGGGACAGACGCAAGCAGAAAATGTTGCACGTATCCCTGCCTGCTCCACAACGGCTGCTGACAGAGAGTGAAGCCACAAAAATGGGAACCAGGGCCAACAGTGATAACAGCACGGGAAGCTGAAGCGATAAGGTAGGACAGGACCCATCAGATCTCTTTCTCACTGGGCTGACCAGCTCACAGCAGGCCCTGGCATTTGCTACAAGTTGCTTTTTGGCCAAGATGGGTGCAGCAAAATCACCTGCACTCGGAACTGCCCAGTGCAAAGCCTTCCTCCCCATCCACGTGTGGCCAGAGCTGGCTGGAGGAAACACGTTGAGAAAGAGGCCAAGCAATTTCCTGGCTGAACATCACACAACGCTTCTCTCCCTGCCCTGCCAAGTGGGTGGGATGAGAGGCAGATGTCACAGGCCAAAACTTCAGCACAGGAGTCACACATCAAACCACACTTCCTGCCCACCAGCGCGAGCGCTGACACACAGCCAGCAAGATCTCAGCCCCCTCGCACCGCTGAGCACTTGTGTTGTCACTGAGCCCCAGCAGCAAGGCCCATTGGGATATAACGGGGGTGGTAAGGGAAGAATGCGGCTTTTACCTTCATCTCTGCCCTCTTCGGAGGGGAGATTTTGGCATCATCCACTTTGATTTCCCCCTCAGGCATTTTGTTGAGGCACTGAAGGATGATGCGGAGAGACTGGCGCATCTCCTCTACGCGACACAGGTACCTGGGAGGGCAGAAACAAGGGCTCAGCCACAAAGCAGGTAACCTGCCGGGCTGCCAGACCCATGGCACAGACCCCACACTGCTCAGGACCAGCACCCAATGGGGAAATCACAGCCCTAGCACCAATCCACAGAGGAGGTCTAACTGTGCCAAGGCCCCAGCACATGGCAGAGGGTCCCCCAGCACCCTGCCCAGCCAGGAACACATCCTGCCCAGAGCAGGGCACCACGTACCTGTCATAGCAGTCACCCCGAGAGCCGATGGGGACATCAAACTCCACCTGGTCGTATACATCGTAGGGCTGGGTTTTGCGCAGATCCCAGTGGATCCCTGAACCCCGTAGCATCACCCCACTGGGCAAAGAGAACCAGGTGAGCAACAGGCAAAAATAAGGGTCCGCAGCAGCCAGGACCTTCCAGAAGGATGGCTTAGGGAATGTAGGCACATAGGGACAGCAGGACATGGAGTCACAGCTCTAGCCACACTGCAGCCACTGGGTGGCACTACTCTGACAGTTATCAGTCCCTGAGGCAGGTATGATCAGCCCTTGGGACTTCTGCAGTCAGGGCTGAGCTCTCTGGGCTCAACTCCGATCCTTCTGGGGCTATCTGGAGGCCTGGCAGGGGCTGGTACCTACCCTCCAGAGTCCACGACATCCCTGTGTCTCCTTCATGGCCTCCCTGCCCCCTTCAGCCACATGCCTGGCACAAGACCAGGGAAGAAGAGACAGCTCAACTGTGGCGGGAGGTTGAGCCACCTCGGCAAGCATCCCCGGACCACAAGACCTACCTGAACCCGTAGTTGAGAGCCTCCTCCGCTGTTATGACCCCAATGTCAACTGTGCGGTTCTTCCAGATGCGGTTGTTAGTGAGCATCTGCAGGCAGCAGTGTGTTAGCAGCTGGCCACAGCACCAGGTTAAGGTAGGGCCACCCTGCCATCTCCCCCAGTGGGCAGTCCCTTTCCTCCTGGCAGGAATGTTTAACCCTGCCGGTGCCAGATGTGATTTTTAAACTATCACGCAATGCCAGCCAGCTCTGCCCACTGACACTTGGGCTACCGTGTGGGTGGAGGAATAACCTCATGCTGGCCATGCCCACAGGAGAGTAGGGACAGGCCATACAGATCCCACCCCCCTAAGACAGCACTCAGGGTGCTAGGAAACGGGGAATGGTTCTCTCCCAGGTTTCAAGTAGGACACGGCAAGCAGCTCCATGACATGGGGACAGGACACTCATCCCAGAGTCTCACCTCTTCCACCTCATCTATCCGCGTGGAGAAATTCTTCACAAACTCATAGATATCGTCCATCAGCCCCAGGGGCAGGTCCTGTGCGTGAGGAGGGTGAGATTAGTCCATGCACAGCCAGTGGCACCAGGGCTGCAGGCAGAGAGGAGCTGGAGGGAGAATCACCCACACAGGGACACAGGAGTGTCCCATGCATTTCCGCCTGCCTGGAGATGGTCTGCAGGGAGCCATTCTCTAGCATCCCGGCAAGACCAGACACCAGCAAGGACAACCTGCTGGTCCAATTCAGCTCACAGGCATTGCTGAGCGATCAGGCTCCTGCAGGACGTGGCAGCTTGAGGCACAGCTCGGCAGAGGTCAAGGGAAGTGGTGCGGCAGCCCTTACCTGGTGCACCCCACCAGGTCGGATATAGGCAGCATGCATACGAGCCCCGGAGACCCTCTCGTAGAACTCAAACATCTGCAGGGAGAGAAGGGAGCCCGCTGTACCCAGGCACGGTATGGCACCCCAGCTCCACGGGCACAGGAAGACACAGGGCACTCACCCCATATCTGTGGGTAACACTCAGCCCCAAATCCACCCCTGCAACATCGCAGACATAGCTTTTCCTCATGAAAAGCTCTGGGACCTTGTGCAAGAACAGCTCTCGCTGCAAAATCCTCACTGAAGCCCCTCTCAGCGCAGGGGCTTTCTGAACAAGAAAGCATGCAAAGGTTTCGCAGGAGGGATGGCTGGCTCCATCTGATGGTCGTGAGCCAGTCACCCGAGCCCATGAGCGTGGCTGCGGCCTCCCAGCCTCCCCTGAAGTTACTCCTGTTCCAATCACATCTGAAGCCAGATCTACAGCATCCCGCAGCACCTCACCTCCCCCAGCGCTCAGTCCTTAAAGAAACCCCAAGGCGGATCAAAAACTCCAGGTCTGCAACCTTCACACCGTATGGGTGGCCTGTTCCCCACAGTAATTCCTCCTTGGCACAACCCCTTTTAGGACCTAAGGCTTGAAACACCCTCTCCTGGGGGAAGGCAGCCCTCCCCAGGTCCATGGGGAGATCTCCTGTCCTCTTCCTGGCCACCTTGTGGGGAGAGGAGCCTTCCCAAAGAAGGGCTGTCAGTTTTGCTGGGCCCCAGCAGGGTCTTGGTACAGCTCTCCTGGCATTTACCTTCTCTCTCTCCTCAAACATCCAGAAGAAGGGGGTCATGGCCCCGATGTCCAGTGCATGCGTGGTGACAGCCATAATGTGATTCAGGAGCCGAGTTATCTCTGCAAAGAGGACTGAGGACAGAGATGGCATGTTAGAGGGACGAGCACCTCCACCTCCTGCACAGAGTCCTCGTACCACCTTCTGGGAAAGGGACACTTGGGGCTGAACCAGCCAGGACATGGGGCCTGCCCCTGCCTAGAGGCAGCAAAGCAGTGAAAAGCAGAGAGCTGGTCTTCACCGGCCTTGGAACAGCCCTGACCCCACTGAGGGGGGAGAAGTGGGCAGAAACCTCCCAGCTCAGAAGGTCTCTTCCCCTCATTGTTCCTACAGGCAGGGCATCACCCAGCCGCCCCCAGACTGAATGCAGCAGGACAGGAATCATTCCTCCTCCTCAGGGACATCTGCAGCTGCCAAGCAGGGACAGACCAGCGAGATTCCTCTGTCCACACAATGGCCAAGACCTCGACAAATGAGACCTTGACAGTGCCACAGGGTGGGCAGGGAAGGAAGGCAGGGGCTTGCGGGAACGCTTGCCTTTGAGACGGGTGCCAGAGCATCCACACAAATGATCCAGAGGTGCGTGGAATCATTCTCACCTCGGATCCACTGAGCCCTCAAAGGCGGACGGATGTTGAGCAGCTTCTCCACAGCCAGGGAGTAGGCTTGCTCGTTGCACATCATGGACACATAGTCAAGGCGGTCAAAATAGGGCAATGCCTGCCAAGAGAAACACCCCTAAGGAGCCGCAGCCTGCACTCAAAGTCAGGCAGCGAAGGCTTGGGACTGCCAGGAGCACTCGGAGGCTTCATCCCACTTGGGCAGCGCTCAGATACAGATACCAGCCTCAGCTCACCCACTGCATCACCCTCCACGGAGGGGACACATGCAGCACAAGCATGCAGAGGGCAGAAGGAGCACAGCTGGAAGAGCAGAGCAGACGGGCCTCGGACATGCCCTGCCCAGCTCTCTGGGCATTTCCACCACCCCTCAGCTCTCTCCAGGGAAGAGGTGTTCCTCTAGCACACAGTTGGTGACAGTCCCCAGCAGGGATTTGCCCCAGTTTCCATAGCATCTTTCTGGTCAAATGTTAACCAAGAGCTACAGGTCCCGCTACGCCTTCCTGACAGAGAGAAACACGCTCAAGTCCTCTGCCAGATGCTACCCTGCACACAGAGCCCAAACAGCCCTTGGAGTTTTGCAAGGCTGCAAGTTGGCTTGGGAAAGTTTGAGCACAATGACAGATTTTTCCATTTTCCCAGAGAACACATGAGCCACAAAGACAGCCCAAAAACTCCAGCCCCGGGCAGGCAAGCAGGGTTTCCCTCCCTGCAGAGGGGCTACCCTCTCCTTGGGATGAGGCGTGAAGGAAAACATGGAGAAGTCTTTCTGTGACAGTTTTGTGGCTCATGCTGATGCCACAAGTTTGGTGTGTCCTGTGAGAGCTCCAGACCCTCTGATATGCAGAGCTACCTCAGGGACAAAGAAGCGCTGCTCCGCTCAGCCCAGCTCGCAGAGAACGCAGGCTACATTTCCACCCTGCATCCACAGAGACTCCCACAACACGTGCCAGCCACCCCTGCTGAGAACTGACTCTTTCGGTGCCAATGTCTGGAAGGCACCACAGGGCAGCTCTGCGCAGCTGAACACAGCCGTCACAGCGCTCTCCCAAAGCCACAGCCATCAGCATCGCCTTGGCCCTGTGCCTCGCGCTCCCGGCTCCCTGCCCACCCCATGCTGCTCCCCTCTTCCTGCGACTGGGTTGTTTCAAGCGCTGTTCCTCCTGCTGGCGAAAAGGTTAAATCTGATCGGAGTAATAAATCTACAGAGCTCTGTTTATAAACACTGCTGCAAAATCTGACAGGCAATTAAATCCACTGCCAGCGCTCCAGAAGGCTGCTGACGTATCCAATTAGACAGCCACGGACAGACACAAACAGCCTCGTCTCCTGATTTTCTCTTACTCTTAGCGCAAAGGGACCTTGGCTCTCCTCACCACCTTCCTAACACTTCACTGAAGACCTTGCTGCACCTTACGGACAAAAAAACGACCCCCCGAGCTGGCAGCTCCTTTCTGGAAACAGAAGGAGACCGATCTGTCAATCGAACCAGAATATAAGTGGGAAAGGCTCAACACCAGGTTCCTTCACAGCGCAAACACAGGGTGCCCTCTTTGGACACCCCTAAGCACACTTCTCAGGCTATCTTCTCTGCAAGAGGCAACCTCGGAGGCTCAGAAGACCTTCCAACCCCCCTGCAGATTACCTGGAGATAAGTCTTGTACTCAATGAGCTTCTCAGTGCCTCGGTGCAGCAGGCCAATATGTGGGTCACACCTCTTCACGGTCTCTCCACTCAGCTCCATGACGAGCCGCAGGACTCCATGGGCAGCCGGGTGCTGTGGCCCAAAGTTTATTGTCAAGCTAGAAACCTTCTTCTGAGCTGGGGGGTCCTTGTCTGCTCAGGGGAGCAAGGAGGAGAGTCAGGTTGGAGCACAAATCTCCAGACAGGGAGAACCATCCACCTCCCACCTTCAGAAGCACTGGGGCCCCGAGGTATTTTGCAGAGCAGGAAGACAAGACAGTCCTCGGCCCTCTCCGGCAGCACAAACGCACTCAGCCCAGATGTCTCAGCCAAGTTCAGCGCTTGGCTGGACATGGGGAACGCAACGTCCCGACAGACGGTTCCCATCTTGGCTGAACGCAAGGCTCGTGGGGTAGGTCCAAGGGCTTGCCTCTGCCTTCTGGACGCTGAGTCCTCGCTCGCCGCTGTTCCTGGCGCGCAGAGCACACCAAGCGGCTTCCCGAGCTGCGCTTGCAGAGGGGACTCAGACCCCAACAGAGATAGGCAGGGCAGCCTGAGGAAGGGCAGCGCACCTCCCAAAGCACCACTTCCCAGGACCTGGGGGTCTTGCAAAGCCAAAATGGCGATATGAGGTTCCTGAAGGGTAAAATATTCAAAATTCGACCTGTGGCCAACACAGAAATTTCTCACAGCAGCTCTGGTAGTGCAAAGAGCCAGACTCCCTCCACCTGCTGCTTCTGGAGCTGCTGCAAGGGAGAATTATCCCATGTGCGCAGCTATAGGAAGTTGCACCAGCAGAGCTGGCCCCACAAGCACCGCTACGCTTCACACAACACAGGACACAGCTCAGAACCAGCTGTGTCCCAGCTGCCTGGCAGCTGTCGGCTGTTCCCTTTGGAGCTTAAGTCACTGCAAGGTGAAAGGGATCTCTGTACAGATAGCTGAAGAGATTTCACCACTATTTCCACCTCGATCGTGCTGCATCGCCACGCTCAGTCATCTCACACAAAGTGCCCTAGATGAGGCTAAAGCTCCCAGGGAACTCCCGCCTGTACACCCATAGCACCCCTGTGCTGTGCTCGCCCCTGTGACATCAAGGCTGCCTGGCCAAACGATGCCAACGAGGGCATAGGTTGCCCCATGGTAAAAACCAGAGGAGTCCAGTGTCACCAGTTCTGCTGATCTCTGAAATCACAGACCATGGGACCCTTCTGCATTCCCTTTCATTGCTGCTACATCAGGTCTTTCAGATGAGATCATGTGGCTGCTGCTGCTGCTGAGCTGCAGAGACCCCAGAACTCCCTCCCTTCAGTCCTCCCAGCAACCAGCTATCCTCACCGATAAAATTTTGCTGAAGGAACAGAACTGCTTTGTTCCTCTTTGATACTGAACTCTTCATGGCAATGCTGAGCTACGGTGCCTCTCCCTGAAGATTTCCCACCCTTACTCTGCTCCTTTCCCCTGCCAAAATTCACACTGCAAAGGACAAGAGTGGGAAAAACCTCTCCAAGACCCCAAGGCAACAAGCCCACACTCAAATCCAGCTCAGCATCCCCTTCCCACTCTGCTATGTCTGCCAGACCAGCCTGTTCTTCCCGTTACATGCATGGGAGCAGCAAAAATCCATCTGTTTTACACAAAACACCTTCCTCTTAAGTACCAGCAGCATGAATGGTGTCAGCAACAGACCCAGAAACTCCCTTTCTGCTGACTGTTTCCAGGAAAGGTCTCGCTGGCCCCGTGGCGATGCCCAAGTGAGGCAGTGCTGCAACAACTGGTTATCGGACATGCGTGGTTCCCAAGCGGTTGTGCTGCCATCGGGTCAGCCAGGAACCCCTCTAACGTCCCCGCTGTAGGGCACAGCCAAGGCTTCACTGTGGGGCCCTGCCCAATGCCAGCCCACAGGGGCCGGAGAGCATCTTGGGAGGACTGGGAGTGGTGGGATTCATCCCTCTGGCAGGTGGGTCCCCCTCACCCATGGGGTCAGCCTGGCCCAGTGCTTGGGGCCCCAGCAGGCACTGACTGCCCCTGCCTGGCACAACCGACAGTCACCCCCGGGCCTCAGGCATCAACCAGGCACGCACTGAGCTAAATCAGAACCTGGGCACCACTGGGCACCCAGGAACACAAAGCACCACTGGGCACCCCCCAGGCCTCCATTGGGCACCCCCTGAGCCCCAGGCACCCACCAAACCCCCACTGAGCCATAGGCTCCTACCAGTCAATCCAGCAAGTCCCAGACTGGCTCTAGGCTCCCACTGGATAGGCAAGAGCCCAAAACAACCACCATGCTCCATGGTGGAGCCACCACCCACCTGGCCCTCACTTGAGCTACAGTTACTTGTCCAAGCCCAAGGTACCTAACTGGGCTCAGCCTGGCCCTGGGCACCCACCAAGCACCCACTGAGCCCAGAGTACCCACCTGGCACCTACCAGGCACCTAAGAGACCAAGGCACACACCAGGCCCCCACAGCACCCACTGGACCTTCACTTGAGCCAAGTGCACCTCCAGAGCCCGAGCTCTGTGAGCTTACCTCCAGTGAGCCCCAGCCTGGTCAAGCACCCACCTGGGTCCAGATCACCTATGAAGCTCCCCCTGGCTACCCAGGACCCCAGTGCAACCGCCAGGCCTCCGCAGCCCCACCAGGACCCCATTCAAGCTAAAGGCACTCCCTGGGTCCAAGGCACACACCAAGCACCCAGTAAGCCCCAGAATGACCCAGGGCACCTGCCAAGGACATCTCAGGGCACCTATCAGGCACCCACTGGGTCCCCAGGACCATCCAACAGGCCTCCACAGCCCCACTAGGTGCCTACTGAAGCCAAGGCAACCCCATACGTCCAGGACACCCACCAAGCATCGGATGAGACCCAGAACACCCACCAACCCCCCCACCCCACCCCAGGGTATGGCACACCCTCCAGCACCCATGGAGACCCACACTGGCCCAGGACACCCACCGAGCACCC